GAAAAATTTAAGTGCTTGAAGTAGACCAAGAACACTTCCAAAGTATTGTAAAGCTAGAGACCAACCTCTTATTTCTATAGACAGTCTCACTTTAACCCTTTCTAAGTTTTGAGAAAGGAACCACCAAATGTATCCTCAATCACAGTAAATACATTTTTAAAAATTTTCTACTATACTTTCCCACTCCATCTAGGTCAAAAGAAGCAAAGGGAAAGTTTCATATATGTAAATATGTCTCCCAAATCAGAAAAAAAAAACTATTGTGATTCAATCTTATTTATATGATTTTTCATTGCAAATAGAGTATACAGCCCTTTGTACAAGTTCATTTGATGATGTATTTCCTATTCTACTATCAAAATGTCCCTTTTCAAAAAAACAAAGTATTTGTAGTAAAAATAAGCAACAAGAAGACTAACTGGATAGCTACAGTAAGATGTATTTTCTTTGAGAAAAAGTATTCCAATACAAGAAGAAAATTTTCCAAAATAATTATATATTTTAAAGATGTGGTGGCTTTGTCAGCGTACACAAACCAATTTTACTGTTTTGACTGACTCAGGTCATTAAAAAACAAAAAGTCAAAATAGTCACCTGGCAATTGTTAATATATATTGACTTGTCAACTCTTTTGGTTGGATAAGTTAGTCAAAAGGGTCACATTGGCCTGTGCATGTAAACACAGACTGAGTGAAATATCTGGATTACTTAGCAGTAGCAGTACTAGCAGCATTTTAAAGTGCTCATACTACTTAAAAGGCATAAAGAACTAATGAAACAAATTACAATCACACAAGAGTTTTCATTCATAAGTCATTTATAGGTGAGTCCTAGATGATTCAAGAACAAAAAATGAAGAACCACATGCAACATGGTCATTAAATTTAAAAGAAAAATTTAAAAAGGCTAAGAAACATATTTAATTTATTCTGGAAAGTTTCTGTCTATATGTAGTCTTTTGATGAAGTAGGCAACCCAAGATTATGCAAAGCCTTACACAGTAAATGATTAATGTGTGCTCTAAATGTCAATAAGAGCAGTAAAAGGTCCAGAAAGCTCTAAATTTGTAATCAAGCAGAACATAAAGATTTAGAATATGAAAACTACTGTTTGAACCTACAAATGCTTCTCTTTTTTGGGGGGAGGAGTCCAGTAATTGCACAAATTACACAAAAGAAAACTATCTAATCAGGGTTTCCCTGCCCCCGTTCCTATGATGACTTGCTTATCAAGAAGATCGTGAGTCTGAGGATAACCTTTTACTGGATGCAAAGTACCTTAGGGAGGAAGGAATGAAAGGAGCTAGTTGGAAACAGAACTTCAAGACTTAAAGGAAAACAGGAGAACTAAGCATATAAAATGCATTTCTCTTTGCAGCAAGCTTAGCAATATTAAAGATTTCATCACTACTTATTGGCAGATTTTTTTTCTTAAAGGGAGGCTGTCTTCTGTAGAGAAGAGGTAGTATAAATAACAATATATAGGTCAAATTACTCTAGCGGCTACACATTTTTGTTTGTAAATTTAAGCGAACATCAAAATAAAATTGAATAACTAAGAGAATATGCTACTAGCATGGAGATTAAGGTTACCTAGAAGTACTCTTCACTGATACACCCTAGGTTTCAATAGAATTTTCATGATATGTTCACTTTTAAAATTTTTAAGTTGGAAACCTACTTTTGGTACGACTTTCTTTCTCCCTCTTGCACCCCTTGTCCCTCCCTCCCCATTCCTGAATTTTGAGTTCCCCAAAAGTAACAACAACAACAACAACAAAAATTCAAGTATGCAGGTAAGAAGAGGTTAACAGATTCCAAAAATATATTTTGCCCAAAAAACAAAGCAAACAAAACAAACCTATTAGAAGAAAATAAATAATTGTCTCAGAAATTTGTCCTATATTTAAAAAAAAAACAATATCTCCCTGTGGTCTAAGTGCAATGTCTTAACTTGCTCGTGTAATTAAGATTGTCATATTAGCATGGTCTATGAATCTAAATTATTATCAATATTAGTATTTTCCCCAATCAAAATTTATAAAGATAACAAATAACCATTAATCACTTATAAATGTCTAAGTGCTGCTTTTATGCACTGGAGTTAAGCAGTTGACTGCTCACTCTTATTTTATAGTCATATTATAACCATTAAATTCAGTGTTAGAATTTGCAAATTGGCATTATCTCTATTCAGTCAGGACTACATTAACTCCACAATGTCGCATGAAACCATTGCATAATGTTATCACAAGACAGCTGGCTGACATTGTAGAAGTTCTAATATATATTATAACTCTAAACAATAGTTAAAAATGGCCCCCAACATTGCAGTGCTTGTTATTTTCCCTGCTTATTAAAATGTTAACTTTTTAAAATAAATGAACTCTCTTCAAATTAAGCAATAATAAGATGTCTGCAGTTTGTTTTAAAAAAAAAAGTACACGATAGTGCTTTCCAGAAATGAATCGTTTCATTGTCTAACCTCTAGTTTAGTGTCATTTTTACACAAAATCACTGAAGTTTGAAAACTGGCCTATTGTTCATTTGGAGATAAAAAGCCTCTTATACACAAAGCAGAGGGGGACAAATATACCAAATTAAAGGGAATATTTAAACAGGGTTATTCAAGAAATTATACCCTTTCCAAAATTGTTCACTTTGGGTTACAAATGGAAAGCAAAAGTACTATTGGCACTTGACACAATGATTGATTTTGTGCACATATAATGATTGAATGTCGGACCTCTTTCTTTATTGGCGTGACATGGAAGACTTAAAAACAAGACTTCAAGAGGTTTTGAAAATAAAGCACTTTAAAAAATTGGAAATAATATAGTCATCTTGTTTGTCTAAAAATATATGTAAATGCTGTTGTAGCTACCTGCCATAAAATGTACATATCTTCAAGCAGCTAAGTGATCAGATAGCTAATTCTACTACAGAATAAAGCTGAACAGCTGTCTAGTCTAGAGTTATACATCTCAGTGTACTTTTTGCAAGTCATATTTTAATGCACACAAACAAAAACTGGTAAAGCTTATAGAAAAATGTTTTGCCTAGTGTTTTCTTTCTCATGCAAGTATGAGTGCTGTACATGTGATAAATATTTTAAATTATTGGGCAATACTCTTCTATGCTCTGAATTAAAGTGAAAAACATGTCACATTATATCTTTGTTCAATTATTGATGGATACAGCTTTTTTGAGTGTCTTTACTGATGGTCCTAATCATCTGTATACTTCTCTGGAGACAGCAAAACAACCCTAAAAGTCAGTGCTGCATCTGTTAATGTTTTAGTTTACTGAACACCATTTTTGAGTTGTATCAACTGACTGAAGTGACTTAAATGGTTAATAGTTATCCTTATTATAAGCTAACCATGATCATTATGAGATGTGCACAGTGAACAAGAGGAGAAGGGAAGGTGGGGAAGGGCACAGAGAAGCGAACTGTAGAGCATGTCAAAATTTTTGTAACTGATCCAGAAAATATAAGATATCATCATGGTCAGGAAAATTATTTAATTGGTATGGGCCTTGATAGCTTAAATATTAAGATGCTTGGGGAAGAAAATAAGATAATATAAAATTAATAATTATCATTTTTCAAAAAATAGGTTTCATGACATGAACCAGTATAAAAGGATTTTTACGCCTGGTCCTGTCAGGCTTTTAGAAAATGCATGCATTTTGGACTTTTAGAAATAATTCTTTGTTTTATAGACACTGGTATGTTGTATAAAATGGTCGGTTCCAATAATTTCTTGGATCATACTGGATCTAAGGCTTCTTTGATAATGTAAGACACAAGGTCCCCAATTACATAAATGTATCCACTGGAAAAATTGTGAAGTCTCAGTAGGTGAAAAGGAGTGCTCTTTAGAAATAAGGCAGCATCATTTCCAAATTCTTCATAATATAATTCTGTGCATTAAAAATGTCAGCACTATCGTTTTAGTGAGCAGGTATTTCCAATTCTGTTTTTTTTTTATTGCAAGCTCTTTAATCTGATCATTCATTTCAAAAAATTTATTTACTTGCATCATTTTGTATAAACACTGCTTTCAATATCAAAATTGAAAGTGACTACTTTAAAAAATCCTTCTGAATGTGGTTATGAAGAAATATTTATATAGGGCTGGGATAATCAGACATTCAAAGACAGACTGGATGATGCAGTGGAAAGGTACTCAATTGTGCTGGCAGGTAAGTACTGAATTTATGTTTGTGGTTACTGGAATGGATCAATTCCCACCTAGAAGAAAGTGCAAATGAGAGGATGTCACATTTTTTCCTAGCTCATATTATATTCCTGGGCATGAGTATTTGTGCTCAGATTGATCAAAGAGAGGACAACACTCCATCTTGTATTTCATAATACCAGTAATACTTTGTTTTGTTCATGCCATTCTCTTTACCACTGCTGAAAAAATACCAATTTTCATTGCCAACTTCTACAGAAGTAAAGGTAGTGACTAAACATAAAGAAAAATACTTTGATGGCAACAGCCATGCCAGGAAAACAAAACAAAAAAAACTTAAATCCCATGAATACTGTGTAACTGCTGCATTAATTTAGATTTTTGGCACTATCAACATTTTACATTTGGTTAAATCTGAAAAAACCATTATGGAAATGTTAACACATAATAAAATGTTTATGTATTTCAACCTTAAGTGTAAATTTAGCTTCCAGCAAATAAATGCCGTAGCTTTTTTTTTTTGGCTTGTATTGAACATTGTGATTTTCTTGATTAGCATTTTTTAAAATTTTCAATTGATTGCAACATGCCCAAGTAGACTTTCTAGTCGATTCACCCAAATTCCAACAGGAATTGGTTTATAAATTGGTTCCAACTGGAACTGGTCATTTGGAATTTCCAGCACAGGAAATTATTTTATATGTGCCTTGATAAGTACCCTAAATTACAAACTGATGTGTCTAATACCTAATGAAGGAAAAGGTAGTTATAATGTAAATGTCACACTAAAAAAAAAAACACAACTATATGACTGGGCATCTAATTTCCCTCTAACATTAGGGCTTGATATACTTTTTTTTTTTTTTTGCCCTTTACCTACCATCAAATGACAGCAACTTACAAGCACAGCAAACACCATGCTTGACCTGGCAAGTTAAGATGATTAGTTTGTCCTAGTTATGTTATGGCAAATTGTCAACTGATGAATACTATCCCCGTCCCCCCCACAGGTTCTTAAACTCAAAGCCTATGTCGGGAATCATGGCTATATCCCCCAGGTGATCCTCGGTTCCTATGGGGTTTATAAGTGTCCTGATATGAGTCAGAGTACTCTTCTTCGACAAGAGGATAATGATCTCGGCTGTGTTGGGAACTGGAAGACAAGCGGTTCCTACTCTTCCGGGCCCTTTCATTGTGATAATTTTCATCAGAGGCCATCAGACTTCGTCTTTCAATTGGAGAGTTCTCAGTAGAGTGGTTGCTGTGCCTCATGCGCTGGCTCTAAAAATATCAGATAATTCATTGATTAAAGAAAGTCAGCTTAATTTCATCTTTATGAACCTTCAAAATGTCAATGTGTGGCACAGTAACTATATTTATGTGGACTATCTATATGATAAGATGCTAAAAGTCTAGTTTCTTGAAGCATACACCAGATAATCAAATATTCTGACCTATGGAGCAGTCTCATATTTCCTTCAAATGGAAAAACACTTCATCAGAACAGTTTTTTAAAACATATTTTTATTACTTAAAACCAAAGCTAATAATTAATAAATAGCATTATTACCAAAAACTTTCTTTTTAATTTCTTCTTAGGAGCTCCTTAGAATAATCAGTTGAGAAAACAGTAGCTCTAGCCTCTCTCCTCAGCCCAGGCACTCAATACTTTTGATAAGCTGAAAACCCTACATGCTCCTTGCTTCTTTCCTCAGTATAACCTCTTTGTCAGTCAGGTTTCCTACTGATATTAGCTAGTCTATTATTCACCATTGTCCCTTTGTAAAGACCTCTTAAAATCTGTTGGAATATCTTTGTATAGTCAACATTTAGATAATTTGTTGCATACAGATATTAAATTTATTTTGGAAAATGCTGCATGCTAAGTTTAACCTAAAACTCAAGATCTAAAGGGTTGTGTACAACGAACTATTAAAAGGATAGCAAATATCAGGGTATATTTGGGAAGGGGTTAGGGACAAAAAATGCTTGTTAAGTACAGAATTAGGGTAGAAGAGTTACAGTTTGAGCTCCCATAGCCTGTTGTCATATACTTTGCTGAATAAAGCAAAAAGATGAAAACTTTCATTCACTCATAACATGCTATCAGGATGCTGTCAGAACTTGAAGTTGTCATGGAAGCTATTGTTTTTCTAACTTTCATAATCTGTACCAGCCCTTCTGGTCCAACACTCCTTTTAATCTAGACTTTCTAATTCTCCTCATTCCTCAGATCAGAAGCTTCATGAGTGAAAAAAGTACCTGATATTTTGTTAGTGAATAGGATCTAAGACCATAAAAGTAATTTAGGTCAAGTCATACACTTAAAATATCTAGTATGCCTGATACAAATATCAGCTATTTATAACAAAGAACTGTATTACTATTCTCCATGTTAAACATGTGATATATATGTAGAATTGAAAGTTGTGTTGAAGAGAATTAAAATATCCAAAAAATGCATTGAGTTCTCCTTTTAAAAAATAAGAATTATTTCACCACAGAGAAATAACTTGAAATCCACATGATTATTTGTTATATTATTCCTGCATTGAGCACAGGCCTGGGTTTCCTCAACTGTAAATATCAATAATTTTTCTTTCTTTCCCTACATTATTGACCCTGTGTCAAGTAATACTTGAAAAATAGACTACAACTCCCAGTAGTTCTTGGTTAGTCAAAGCATGACTACTCTTTGCCTGCTCTCCAGAATTTATCCCAGCCCTAGTGGATTTTCTGTGTTCCTTGATGTTCCTGGTCCTCTCTTTTCTTGGTACTTTGTACCTGTGTCTCCTTCTTCCAAAATTCTATTGACTCCCAACAAAATAACATAGCTTGGACTTGCTTTTTTTTTGCTCTGTCCTTGATGCTTCTTACCTGTATCCTGCCCACCATTTGGAACATACTACCTGGTGAGATCTTGATTAGGAATTGGACTAGATGAATTTTAAAGTGTCTTTTAGTAATGATATTCTATGACTTTTTAAAATTTGTCTCACTTTTTTAATAACTATGTATTTCACTTCAGTCTAGTTGAATCTAATTCTCTTCCTTATGTTCTTTTACCTTATTTTAATGAAAATGTAATTAATCTCTGCAAAAGCCCTACTATATTTCTGTAAGGTACTGTTACTTTAAGGACCTTTTCATATGGAGAAGTTTAGTGCTGAGAAAGGTAGAAAAATACTTATGTGTAAAGAGTTTTATTAACAGGTATATGATTTAAGACATTGCCTCTGTCACAGATGAACATTTTGATGCCTCATCTGTAAAATGAGCTGGAGAAGGAAATGGTAAACCAGTCCAGTATCTTTGCCAAGAAAACCCTAAACGGGGTCAGGAAGAGTTGGACACAACTAGAAACAACTCAACAACAATAAAAAGGAGTAGGAAAAGAAGTTTTGTTTAATTAAAAATTGCTCTTCTATGAAGAAACAGTTTTCAGATGGAATTTGACCGATTTTGGACAGAAAATGAACTCTGGCATATATATCATGACAACCTTGTAAAAGGTAGAAGTTGATGCCCAATCTATATGTGAATAGATTGGTCAAGAGGTTTAAAGAATTTTTATTTATTAAAAACTTGGAAATGTGAGTATGAAGAAAGAATTTCAAAAACACAAAATGAAATGGAGGACTATCTCATGAATTTATAACTGCAGGGGATAAAACTATTTGGAAACTGAGGTATGATTAAATAAGTTCTGTTGATCTCTTAAAGGAAATTGGTGTTTACTGTTTTAGTGAAAGGCAAGTTTTTGGGTGCCCAAGTTATCATTTCAACTACTGAAAGATATAGGAGTTCAGAGCTAAAGAGTGAAAGTAGGGCTGAAAAAAGATGAACTTGGAAATAGAAGACTGATGAACCAAAGAAGAGTCAGAAAAACATTTATAATAGAGCTGTGTTTAACAGCTACTTGCTAACAGAAGGCTTTTACCTTTCTGATTTGTAATTGATTGACAACAGGCTCACCCTCATTGGACAAGAGCTTCTGTTCCAAATATTGCTCTTCAGCACTCTATAGAGATTACGGAGTTGAAGACTCTGAGAAGTACCTATTGCCCTTTGCTGCTGCTCCTCCTCACCTATGTTACGAGGGAAAAGCAGATTTTGCAGTTGCTTGGTTGATGCTGAGATTTAATTGGACTATGCAGAATCCTGGTGAGTAAAAAGCTAAGGAGGCTTGTTTACCTTGCTTAGAGCAGGGCTTCTTAAACTTTTTCCATTCAGGACTTCTTTAGCACTTCTTAAACAAAAAAAAAACTTAAACTGGCCCCATATGAGACTGCGACCCACAGTTTAAGAAGCACTGGAGAGTCAACCTGAACCATTTTTGTGATCTCTGTTCTGATTGGACAGTTCAGTGTCCAAGTGATTGAATAACTGTCTGGTCTGGCCTGATCTGGTCTGTATAGCCTAGAGATAGGCAGCCAGATGAGATGTGCAGTTCTCTGGTTTAAAAGAAGTTGTTTTTTTTTTTCTAAATTAAGAGGTAACACTTTCTGAATGCATTTTAAGAGTGACTGTAAGTTGAAAGAACTTGTAAATGCTACATCAAGTACAAAAGAGAAGAAGATTTGCCCAAAGGGAGAGCAGTGAGAAGCAGCTGATTGAAGTTTTGGGTGGTACAGATATCCCTGAATGAACCAATAACATCAAAGCTTTCAGTATAGAGTTATGTTACCTCAAACACATGGGTTTTCATGATAGGAGAATGTTACCTAGTTTTATGTGTGGATTTTGATTGTTTTATGCACTTGCTTAATATGTGAGCATTTGTGATGTTTAAGATCTAAAAGTGTTGTTATTTTAAGTGGCTGGTTTGTGGAAATAGAAATGCATTGAGAGCTAAGAGTTCGGGTTGCAAGTGAGGGGAATTTCTTCTCAACAGAATTACACTTCAGACTTTGAGAGAATTTGAGTATAGACACATGGTGGTGATCCTTATCTGGAAAGCTAGACCTGTCATTGTGAAGGCAGGATGGAGTAAGGAAGCCAATACCCAGAATTACATGTCCATGTACCTATGTGTGATGTGTGACATCCTTATGGAAGTCCCTACAGTCCTCATGTCACCTGGGTATTGAACTTCATTGAGACATAAAGATAACCCTAGGCTTTCAAAAACTATGCCTGTGGAATAAAACTTCTGATAGATTCTACCATGTGGTTAAGTCTCAGAAACAGACAATACTCTCCAAGGACTATCTTATTGAAGTACAGAAAGGCTTATCACTATTAGGTTAGTTGCTACTTGGCCATGGCAACTCATGAAACAAAGAAAATTAATAATGGCCCTCAGTACTGTGTTAGTCCACTTCTATTCCCGAAGTAATGATGGAGTAGAGGAAAAGGGGGTGAAGGGTGTTAAGAATCACAGTTTTTTTTTTACTTTCTATAAGTATTAACTAGTTGTAGTCTAATGTGGTATTCTTGTCAAAAGATCAACTATTTGACATAGTACTTGAAGAACTAAATCACATCAATCTTGACATATAAATGAAAATACAAAAGAAAATTGCAGATAAATGGAACGATAGCTTGTAAGATCTCCTTGAAAATTTTTTTTTTCAAAAAAGGGAGTAAGCACAGTTGGTTTGTTTGATCATGCATCCAAAGGCAATAAGAAATATAATGTCATGAAACACTTGGTCATTTTATATTGTAGGTGCTTGTGGTGAGCATCTGGAAAAGCACCACTATGAAAGTAACTGAAGTTTATGTGCTACCATATGTTGGAAAGGATGAGAAATTTAGAGAAATCCTACGAAAAAACTAAGTAAGATGCTTCAATTGAAAAATTATATACTTCAGATCGCCATAGGGAAGGATAACAAAAATGCTTTTGAAAATATGGTTCAGGATTAAGAAATGAAAGAGGCCAAAATCTTATGGACAGAAACCTCTCATCTGTACATCATAGATACTATCTTCAAGAAAAGAATCATAAGGCGCTAGATATGGTAAGCTCCAAATAAAATCACTAAGTGATGTCTCAACAGATAGGGAACAGTAGGTTACCTATTATAAGAGTTATTTCTAAATCAGCTCTGTATGTACACACCATTGAGTTGTTAAAGCAAAGAGAATATTAAATTAGAATAATGAATAATACTTAGAAAATGCATGCCTATAATTAAAATAATTTCCATTTGGCCTATTTCAACAAGCTAATGACATTGAAGAATGGGGAGTAGATAAAAGAACAGAATAGCACAGATAATCTCTATTTCCTAAGAAAGCTTAATTGTTATAAATCAATTGACACAACATAGTGG